GCCGCTGCTTCTCGGAAGCAATTTATTGGCACTGCGCTACTAATTGAGAAAAAGTAGAAAAGAGCACATTTGTAACTGGTTCTACACATTGCAGTCATAAAGAATTTCATGCTCAGGAACTTCTAATGTCAACCGTATCTGTGAAGATGTTTTTTTACAGTCTCGACGGATAAATTCTTACTTTGATTTATTTTCTCATGGGGTGAGACTGAGCCCACTTGGTACTGCGGCCACTGTTTGGCTTACTATACCAGACCCAGATGATAAATGATGTTTGTGGAGCATTCGGTTGAATGCAAATTGGCAGGAGAATCCGAAGTACTCGGAAGACACCTGCCTCAGTGTCATTTTGTTCACCAAAAATCCCACATGACTTGTGGCGCAAAGGCTTGTCCCACCCCTGTAGTTTTATGAATTCTGAGTGTGATATTTGGGGTCATGACCTCTACTAAAATCTGTAGCGTGTCGAAAGGTTAACCTGCCACCACTTATGAATGTTAAATCTACCCCTGCCATTTAAAAAATCAGTGGAGTCCAGGAGTATTTCGTCTGGGACTTTCCTTTCTCAAACTCTAGTGTAACTAGGGATTCTTGAGGGGTTCATGATTTCGAGACATTTGTCTGCAACCTTAGTTTACATTAAATTTTAAGAACGAGAAAAGATTTGCAGGGCGCATATTGTCTGGGTTGTTACTAGGAGAATGCTGGCCAGACTTAGGTACGCCAGCTTTTGTATGTAACATAACACAGCTCAACAAATCCTCTATATTCTGTAGTGAGTATCTGCTCTCTGTGCTTGGAATACACGCTCAGCCACCCATCGTACAGCCATTATCACCGAATTATTACGCTACAGCTCGGCCAACATAATTCAGTCAACCCACCAACATCTTTGGACAGTACTCCTGACCCGGGCTCGAACCCGGGCCACCGCGTTAGAAAGCCGGCGACTAACCGCCTGAGCTATGACACGGTATATAAATTATAGCAAATGTAGACTCCAGTCTACATACGCCTTCTGAGAAGATGTACGTATTTCCCAGGGGTGTTTATTTCCTAGAAGGCTCACTATTGATGTGCCTATCAGCACAACACATACGGTCGTATTGAAATTAACACGAGTCGGATATTGTTAGAGTTTACGCAAACAAGGCTCATTCGAATCAACGGTAAAGCGAATCTGTTGATGTAAGAATTGGATTTGTTACAGGCTGTCTAATTCCAGAGGAAGCCATTCCTTGTTATGCAAAATATTTTTTGCGCATTTGTCGCGTACTATATAACTTACGTAAGATTTGAGGCTTTCACGGCGGTGACTATGAAGAAAGCAGTCTTCTGGGATTTGGCGCCGTGTATATGTGGTGTTAACCGACGTTTCGGAAGAACGTATCGCCTCCATCTTCAGGGTAGAAGGAAAACTGTAAGAAATCCGCAAGCGAAGGGACCGTGAGAACCGGTAAAGGCAGACTGGTCTACCCTGAAGATGGAGGCGATACGTTCCTCCGAAACGTCGGTTAACACCACATATACACGGTGCCAAATCCCAGAAGACTGCTTTCTTCATAGTCACCGCCGTGAAAGCCTCAAATCTTACGTAAGTTATATAGTACGCGACAAATGCGCAAAAAATATTTTGCATAACAAGGAATGGCTTCCTCTGGAATTAGACAGCCTGTAACAAATCCAATTCTTACATCAACAGATTCGCTTTACCGTTGATTCGAATGAGCCTTGTTTGCGTAAACTCTAACAATATCCGACTCGTGTTAATTTCAATACGACCGTATGTGTTGTGCTGATAGGCACATCAATAGTGAGCCTTCTAGGAAATAAACACCCCTGGGAAATACGTACATCTTCTCAGAAGGCGTATGTAGACTGGAGTCTACANTTTGAAAATGTCTTTTCACACAGGTAGGTACTACCAAATACAGAGATCAAACCTCGAGCATATGATCTTAATTCACCATATTCATCACTTGGAAGACACTTATAGAATTCTGTTAGATTGTTCTCTTGGAATTTGCCTTTTAGCATGTTATCACACTGCAGATTAATCACTTCCAATTGAAGGTTAGGTGGAAGTTCCTCAATTGTACAGTTAAATGGATTTTCAAATCTGGAAATGTCTTCTGCACTTGCATCAAGATCCGAAAAACGTCGCTGGAACTGTTTTTTGAGCTCAGAAAATATATCACCTGCAAATTCGTGCGGGAATGGGGAATCCACTTCTTCTTTTAATGTTTGACAGCATGGGAAATGCACGAAACAGCTTGACATGATTTGTGACTCAATCAAAGCCAGTTGTCGTCAAAATGATTTTACCGCAGTATAAGTTTCACATATTAGCACTGTTTTGCCTTGTAGCTTCAAGTTGAATCCCATTTCCCAAGCCATTCAGTGTTCGATAATAGTGGTTGAGGAGCTATAGGAGCGCCACACACGGCAATTCTTGCAATTCCTCAACTCAAGGTCAGCCGTTTGAGTACGTAATCATCCATAGACAATATGTTCGATAAAACGTAGGTTTCTTCCTATAAATAAAGCTTCATAGACGCAGAAATATTAAACTCATATTATAATAATTATCTTGTTTCATGAAATATTATCCCACTTTGACATTTTTAAGAGTTTGGATATGTAAAATCTATTCTTAGCGCGCGGGCCGCAGAAAAAGCGGCGGCGGGCCGGAGTTGGCCCGCGGGCCGTAGTTTGCCGACCCCTGCCTTAGACCGCTCGGCTACCGTGACCGGCTCTTTATATAACTTACGTTCGCGCAATACTCAACATTTCATTGCTACGGAAAACCGAACTTGCATAGTTCCAGAACTTCGGCCCGTTATAAGAGAACACTTCCACATAATATGAAAGTATTACAGGCGGAGCTAATATTAAATCTTACAGAAACACATTTCATAGTTCAGAATATGTGCAAGCAGCTGGTAGTTTTTCTCTCCGTCAAGAAATTTCATGCTCTTAATTTCGTCTTCAGATACTCGGGTGCACTGTTTAACAGCGGAGGGCTCAAGTTTGCTGTCAAGAAACTCGAAAGATCGTCACAACTATTGCAGGTGCTCGCGGTAAGAACGTTTTTAGTCAGTCGCGACGGCATGATTAGTAACCCTGCATCGTATCCGGGAGGTGCAGGTTTCGAATTCCTGCTCATACGCTCGTTATGTTTACTGAGATACTTTCAGGTTTTCCCAGGTTCCTTCTCTCAGGCACCAGGTAATTCATAATTCTCGGTCACACTGTCATTCGCTGTTATGTGTACGTATGATCAGTGTACTTGGAAATGCAAGGTTAAAATGCCGGAGACAATCATAAATCAGACCTTTTCTGCAGTCATTTCAGTCGCTTTTATGTCTTCACGACCTATCAATTTAACATTATATCCCCATTTTGGACTACGTGCATTATAGTGGAGGTTTTCAACCAAAACGTTCCTGTTTTATTACTCCTACATATGATGCTTGTGCTGCATACTTTTTTTCCTTTGGCGGTACAGCCCGAATTTCGGCCTTGGCCTACCTCCACGAAACTCTCCGTTTCACTTCTATTTACTAAGTCTAAGACTCCTTGGGCGGGTGATCACCTCATCGCAAGGCCTCTACCTATATTTAACGCAGAAAAACTCACACACACAGAAACACTGAACATCCATGACCTGAGTGGGATTGGAACCCACGATCCCGGTTTCCGAGTGAACGAAGACAGTGCATGCCTTAAACTGGTTTCCTACCGTGAGCGGCGTCCTGCATACCTAATATTTTTAATTTCGAAATTCATATTAAAGGTCGTTTTCTTGTTTTCTATTGTTCCAATAAAGTCGTTCATGTGATAGGAGCCACCACAGAACTCCATAAGCGTGTGCACGACCTAATTATCACACTTTCAGAAAAACGAAATTTTAATTCGTTAACTAATACTACGCTGCAATAGTATGCCCTTTTTATTTACTGCGCTCGTTTGGCAGAAGGAATTGTAAATCGAATAGTGAAGGCTAGGACGAAACTTGTTCATACAATAAACTTTCCATGCAGTTATTCACTGTTATGTGATAGTAAATTAGCGATAAGTCAGAACTGTTTACTTAATGAATAAACAGTCAGTATAAAGGCTTGAGTGTTCACTCTTTTTACGGACGCTAAACGAAGAGTGAATTGGGCCTGTATAGAATGTATGAATTGTTTGGCGTTTTTTAAATGTACCACTGCGTTAAAGAAGAAACAGAACTTATTTTAAAGCACCTTAAATTCTTCTTTTAACTCTTACTGTGTTAAAAAGCCATGGCTGATTATTAAATATGGGAGCTCGAAGATACCGTCATAACATAACTTTTTTAAATAGTTGAAGGCTTTCAGACATAAGAAGAGAAGTGTATAAATGTCATATGTGTATGTTTGAAATATATGTACATTTTCATCCAAATTATTATGCCTCCTACAAATATTCTGCGAGATACACGTAGATCGACAAGTAGAGTTGCCGTAAAATTGTCCGATATCATTGGAAAATGACAAAACTCATGAAAATCCTGCCAACGGTTCTCGAGTTCTTCCATGTGACTGATCGAACTTAAGAGCCCCACCTGTTTCCATACGTGCCCAGTAAGAATATAGCCTACGAAATGTAGCAACTATATTGTGATTAGTTTTGTAACAATGACTGTGTAATTAAGAAAGTGAAATCGAGATACTGAAGTGTACGACGTCGCAAACAGAAACGTTCTTTTAACTTTCAGTGTATTGTTGCTTAAAATACTGGCAATTGAAACTAACAAACTCAAGCGACCATGAAGTATTTCAATTTGACGTACACGTCTGCATTCTGGTTTGAATAACTGTTTGTAGTACGTGAACTGTAAAAGCATAACATTGCTCTGGCAATTACAAAATTGCACCCTTAAATGACTGGTTACCCAGAACGTCCTTCTGAGGCACCCAGCTCCGCGTAAATATGTTGCTTGGGACTGCAGGCATTTTGTCAGCCTTGCACTTCCACAGGACGCGAAATGGCAGCTGTGTGAACGCTGCTATGAACGTCTGCAGTACCTCAGGAGGGAACGTTTCAGAACGAAGCATGGTGCCTTAACTGAAGTATATGACGCCCTGCGGCGCCTCATCCAGCAGCGTCTGTATGTCCTGCAATAAAATATGCAATAAAGCATGTTATTTATTAAATTAAATTAAGTTGGGAAATTTCCGTTGTCTCAAATATGTTGGCAATGCGCGATACGTTGAAATTTGGTTCACTTCTAACTTTCATGCACTTGGTGGTCTAATTGTTAACAAACGTTTTGTGTTCAAAGCACGTCGGTTCCGATATCAAATTGCCACTACTTTCGAAAATGAAAATATACGAACATGAAAATATTTACCGTTCAACGACAACAAATCACGTGAAGACGGAAGTAGAGAGGATACAAATAAACGTAGAATGAATTCTGGAATTCGCTGCGTAAAATGTTGATTTTTCGAAAGTCGAAATCATATATTAGGCCGCAGCAGCGGAAACCTGACGAGTTGAAGAAATGTCATGCCTATAAAATCAGACAATGTGCAGTGTGTAACGTGGTTACTGTAGGATTCTGACGATGATGTATAACACACAGAGATATTGGGTTTTCGGAATTTATCCATCGTCCTGGTTTTTAAGATAACTAAGAAAAAAACGACGTTTCGGAAACTGGATCTCTTTCCGTCCTCAGGTGAGGGAGAACACATATTCTGTTGGGTCCCTTAGAAAGAGCTAGCCTCAATCACTGGTCCAGTGTTTTTCTTAGTTATCTTAAAAACCAGGACGATGGATAAAGTCCGAAAACCCAATATCTCTGTGTGTAACGTAATCGTAACACGTCTTTAAGTAATATTCATATATTCACTTGTTCCTTCTTAAGTTATAATGTAACGACTTTTTATCATGTGCAGTATTACATAGCGTCCAGTGCGAAGTCAGAGAATGGTTTTGTATGAGGAATTGGGAAGATCTGGAGAGGAACTGAACTTTCTACATGTGCCATCCCAGCATTTGCCTAGAATTGCGGAGGGAAGCCACGAATACCTAGTCAGGATAGACGGTTCACAGTCCAGGAATCGAACCGGATAACACAGAAAATCAAATCAAGTGTATTATAAAAATTACAATATTACGAAATATATCTCATTGAGAAAACATTAAAGTGAAATACTTAGGATGAAATTATAACACGTTCTGTAATACTTCTAAATTCAACACCCTCACAAACTTCCTCATGAGGACGGACGAGATGACAAATTACTCCAGAAAGCGAATAGCGTTGGGGGACTTACTAATCCAAAAGGCAGTCATGTTAGCAGTGAATATATGCATGAAATTGCGAAAATATCTAAACAGTGTTTCGTCTTGTTTACATTGGAGTTTAAACGTATGACTGGTAACACAAGCGATTACGTCAATAATTATTTCACTGTTTGTAGTTCGTTTCTTTATTTATGTAAATAAGATGTGTTAATTTAAGAAGTTATGTCATAAAGGCCAATTGAATTGAGTAGGGAAAAATGAAGCTCACTGTATATTTTTAATACTTAAGATGTCCATATCTGTCGCTCGGTCGGTATAATATGCTTGCGGACTAAAAGCCACAGAGTTCAAAAGATGTTCATATCAGTGATAATTCATACCGCTATATTCTACGTCATGTTATAGTGCGGTATCCAAAAAAAAAAACATCTCAGGGAAACAAACTGCCTCTATGTTCCAGCTCCCAGCAACTCCCATCTCTAGTGTGGTGGGAGTGTGTTCTTCCGAAACGTCTGTATCCACCTACTAGACTACACGGTCCTATCCAAGAAGAACAATATTTGAATATGTTTGAAACGAGTTCGTGCAAACAGAGTGAATAGTTTTATAACCCTATCTTTCTTCTTTGTTTGACGCGACTGAGTCAGCTGACTAAATTTTGTGGCCTCTGTAATATCTCGATAGTATCTCGCCTGGCGTAAACGAAAGAAATGACGAAAATGTTGTAAATAACGAATTATCCTGCCAGTATGACTCGGTTTATCGTGTTGATTCAAGTAAACGTATCGTCGTCTAACCTTGTGGTCATTCAGGCGGAACGCATAGACCGGTATCGCGTGTAAGTGTCCGGCCTTCAGGGAAGCCTTACCAAACGAAAGATCAGAATATCGGCAACTGCCGTAAAACATCTGTAGTACTTCCATCAATGGCCGTCCTTTATGTATTGTTCTAATATTTCATCTTTCATTTGAAAAGTCGGCCAACATCACAAATAGATACATGTTTCTTTCTGTAGTCCAAAATTTAGTTGGCAATTATTCGATTTTTAATCACAGAACATATTTTTTTACAGTATTTTGTGTAAGTTATACATTTACTTCTGTCCGCCTTGTGTAATTAATCTAAAAAGATCAGTTCTGATTGTTGATTTGTTTCGAAATGTCATTGTCCAGATTTCGCGCATGGATGAGAGACGGTTGAATTTTGCTGTTAAGGATTATCTGTGTTTCGTTATTGTTTCATATATTTCCCCATAACCTCTTGACTGCTAGGCTTATATTTTTTCATAAATATTCATATTTCTGCAACGGCATCATTTATGATAAGTAACTGAAAGAACAACGTAAAAATTTGACACTCTTCACGCAATTGTCAGGGAAAGAACATTTATATAGAACTTTGTTATATAAATTCCTGAATAAATATGCATTCGTTCAAAACTGAACTGGAATAATTTTTGTGGTTTAATTAACATCGAATTGTACCACAAGAACTTTCTTACGAAGAACAGTTCCTACAAGCGGCATTTTTTCGGAGACTCAGTAGCCGGTGGTCCGCATTTTAAGCCTTCTAATGCGGTTTTTTTTGAGCGGCCTCTCTGATTTTCTTATCATCCATTCCTTGTATATGTGCTGTCCATTATTATGTGGAACTTTTCGTATCTTTTGTTCGTCATGGTCAGATATAGAGACATTACCGGTCCTACGGCAAATTATTTGTTTGTATAAGGCTAGGTCTTTTATTCAATTTAGAAACAGTTACAGAAACTTCATGGAATTTGGTGTAAAATTATTTTATATGACAGAAAAGCGGTACTGCTTCTTAATCACTACCATATTAGGAAGCCAAAATTTGAAGTTTTTGAGCACTTAATTACGCACACCGCCTTGAAGACGTCTCAGGAAGTTCCACGAAATTTGAAGTCGGCACCAGATAGTGGTGAGAGGTGAGTTTGTGGCCGGTTTACTCACCGTAAAAGGTGTTTTCTATTGTATCAACGTCGTATAGAATTCTTAACATGCAAGGATAGGAAAGTAAGCGATTAGTTCTTCCGAGAACTTCTTGTTTTGTGTTTAAATCAAAGGCATCTGAGACAAATAATAATAATATGAAGAGAATCATTCGAGCATTTGATTCTGCGAGCATAAGAACACCAGTAGCATCCCTACACAGCAGACAATTTGCAGATTAATTGTGGAACGCATTTTTCATAATTCATGCAGTTACTGTAACTTCCGCGCACTAATATATGTACGGACCTTATAAACATCTTGTTGACAGGTGTGAGAGCGCAAGGTCGAACTGGGAGACCGGATATGTAGATATGATCTGATGCCCGAAGGCTGACCACATCTGCAGACATATTTCCAGACTCGTTTCCTACTGACCATTCATGAATGTCTTCCCACCCTTTTGGATGCTGCGTAATATCTGCACTTGAAATAACGTAGTTAAAGAATCTAGAAATCAGACTCGTAACACAGGATCGATACGTTTATGCTTGCGCAATGAGCAGCTACAAGAAGTGCACGCTTTACGAAATGCGATTATTGTGATCAGTCGACGAGGGCGCCGTTTGTAGCAGGCCAGGAAGAAACTGGAAGTGGAAGAGACTTTATGGGAGACCCAGGTGTAGATTGGAGGATAATATTAAAATGGGTGTGGGTTTGTGTACTGTATTCATGTGACTCAGAATAGGATCCAATAGGGAACTTTTGTTGACAGGTTTCTGTACAAGGTAAATAGTTTTTGATCATCTGAGGACCTGTGTTGTCTTCAAGATGGAACTGTTCCGTGGAGTTTGTTAAGAATTGGTCAGTCTGCTTATACAGCAGTCATCCTCAAATTTCAAGCAGAGACAGATTTTTAATGGAAGGATTAGTCAATATATTAGATAATTAGACACTGATTTCTCAACCCATGGCCTCTTGTAAGATTCGTGGTCAATGAAGTGGCACCGGAGAAGTATTTTATCACCTTTCGGTTTCCCCCTCCTAATTATCATTCTACCATTGCTGCACATTTATCTATCACTGCCCCCTGACGTGTGCCGGAAACACATTCTCAGTCTTGGTCTTTGAGTTGGGTACTTCATCTGTGCGGGTATAAGAGTCTGGTCTGTATGCCGAGTTAGGCTGGGCGTCAGGACATGGCCACATGTAGCGGTCTGCAGTGTACATACCTGAGGCAACTTACTGGCGCTCTGAATGTGGAGTCCTCCGACTTCCACGACGACCGGAACTGTTGGTCTCGGATAGTTTACGCTAAAGTGACTGTTTACCAGAACGAGACTAACGTTGCGAGCAATATCCGACAAGGCTGGGAGATCATCCCCAAAATATTTACGTGCTATCCGATGTGTTGGCAGCTCAGAGAAATAGTAATAGACCCACTTAATCATTTCTGTCTGCACCGTATTCTGCAGCCTTTCCCAGAAAGTCATTCTGTCTGTGTACTGTGCGCAGTAGTTCTGAACGTGGGCAGGGTTGTCTGGGTTTGCTGTACGCTCGTTTGACCATGGCAAAGGGACGCTGGTCATTAGAGAAATGTGGGGGGCTTTGAATTTGTGTACAAAACCTAAAAAGCAATCACTACCAAATATTTCATTTATAATAAGATCGAATTTCTCTTCTGATTTCAGTAGAGTTTCAATATTCCGATGTTCCAACACCATTTTGCATGTTTCCACACTGTTTCTTATTATCAAAAATGGAAGCAGAACATTGTCATCTTTTTCCACAACGCTTATGTTTAAACTATTATTAAATCTAATGGAAGAACCCGAAATGCTTATATCTGTATAGTTTTTAACTGGACTGTGCTGTGGAAAGTGACTGACTACAACCACGTCATGGCCTCTTGCTGCCAGTGCTTTCAGTAGAGTCTCGAACATGATGAAGTTACTTTCGGCGTTGTGCTGAAAAACAGCCAGTATTCTTGCTGCATGAAGATTGCGCAGTGTGCAAATCACAACGAATAACATAAGCACAGCATTAAACTTCATATCGCACATGAAAATACGTATTTCAATTCATTGTTAACCTTAAATTACACTGACACACACACACACACTACTTGTCCATGCAGCACAGTTTTCACCAGGCACGAAAATCCACGAAAGTGTCCGAGTGATTGTTCGTTGTAAGACGATCGGTAGCATGCAGTAATGCCACCTGTGGGAAACGTGTTTCAGACTAGTGGTAACGTGGTTTGTGAATAGCGATTTAGAAATAATTTCATAGGACGTGGTTGTGACCTAATCGAGGTATTGTCTATCCCCTATCATTTGCCTGGAGGGAGTGAGATAAACCTCAAAAAAACCCTCAGTCAAAGTAGCCGAAATACTGGCCATGATTCGAACAGAGTACCTCCCATATAAAGCTCTAGAGCACTGCCGTTATACCAACCTCATAGGTTTATTACAGAAGGTATTTTAGCCTAATTTCCTTATTTAAAATAAAAAGGCTTATGAGATCATCTTGCTCTCTGCCCCCCCCCCCAACGTTGTTAGGCAGCGGCTCGGCAAGCACGTTTCCAAGGCAATGAATACTCACGCAAGAATATAAGAAGTGTTGGGCACGGTGTTTTCTGTGGGATCCCACAGTATCAGACTCAGTGCTCTTATGTTAAAAGATAAAAGGTAAAATTGTTCCTGTGCTTAACTTGAGCACTACGTCATGAAGACGTATGGGAGAGTGAATGTATAGATCCACGTTTTCTTGACCTCGGCACTAGTTGGACGTAAGTGATCAGCGTCACGCCCCGGCCGCTTTACACCAGGGAAAGAGTCATCGGTACCCATTGGATATGAGTATGGGTGGACCCCAGAGTCGGTCTGGACGACTTGGAGAAGAGAAGATTCTTGACCGTACCGGGATTCGGACCCCACCCTCCTACAGCCAGTAGCCAGTCGCTATACCGACTGCGCTATCCCGGCCCTCACATGTAGTTAAGAGAAATTTCGCGATTATACCCTTCATTATGCACTTTTCATCAACTTCCTCTTTTCTCATATTTACTAAGATCCAGGAACCGCGCCATAGCTCAAGCGGTTAGTCTCTGGCTTCCCACCGCGGCGGCCCGGGTTCGATTCCGGGTCTGGTCAAGTGGGATTTGTGGTGGACAAAGTGGTGCTTGGGCAGATTTTCTCCGAGTACTTCGATTTCCCCTGCCAATCTTCATTCCACCAATTGCTCCACAATCGCCCTCACCTATTATCTGGGGCTGGTACAATAAGTCAGACGTGGCCGCAGTATAAGGGACTTAGTCCCACCCCACTAGCAATAAAAAAAATACTAAGATCCAAGTGAAATTATGATGCATCTTACAAATGGAAATAAATTCTTTTGTTTTCAAATCAAATGACTTAATAAACCGAGTGGGGCAGTAAATCCAGATATCATGAACCTTATACAGAGTTTCCTTAAATGAGTGATGTAATTTTAAATTATAATAATAATAATAACAATAATGTCACGTGTCAGGGTTTCCGTGACGAATAGTAAGGGGTTCTGGATTGGATGATTGTATCTATTAACACCTTCGCTTACAGTCACTCGTAATCACAATAAATTATAGCGCTATCGCTAATCTTCCCACTTCAAAAATCACTAGAACACGCACCATTATCGTCCTTGTACTCTCCTGTACTCTTTTGCTCTTGTATTCTCCTGTACTCTTCTGTCCTTGTACTCTCAACTGATCTCTCAGTTTCTCTGGGAACCTCACTATACAGCCGCGGCACGGATGACATAAAAAACACCCTTCTTCTATTAGGGATGCGTGTTTACAGCCCCGTTGCTTAACACTAGGCGTGGCGCGGACCATATAGAAAACACCTCTTCTGTTGTTACAATTGTTGTTTAACCTAACAAATAGTCGTAGTGTAGCCCACAGAGAACACAGCAACTATGGTTGCGTGTTCTCTGGACCGTGTATATTGAGTCGCTGCCTAGCAATGGTCATATTTGTCACAATAATATTAAAGTTGTATAGCCTAATGCTATAAATGTGGGAACACTGTGTTCTCCCACACTGAAACAGTTTACTCTAAATGTGACGTCTTCTCTCACGCTACAGTAAGCTTCTACGAGGTGAACATTTTCCGGAAAAAAAAAATGGGTCGGCAGAAATGCACCAATTCCACGGCCAACTAGAATTCCCGATTTAACCGTTTAAATGCTTTCTTCTGAGGCTATACCGATAACATTGTGTGCTCCGAAAGAATCCGAGATCTGAACCTTGTGAGAGACAACATCTAAGCGCTACTGGAACTGTTGCACTGCTAGAGGGTACGAGCGGGTGGAGTGGAGCTGAACATAGATTCCATGTTTTGCAGAGTGGCGTGTGGTGTACATGTCAAAACTTATGGAGTTGTATGCAAATGATAGGAAATGTACGTGTTTTGTTGTTTGTATCTAATAGGAATTTTCCATAATTTATCTTCATTAGTTCCCTTTAATCCAAATTCCAAAACGCATAATTGTTTTGTAGAAATTCTGCATTTTAAAGCCCAACTTAATTTCCAAGTACTTCAAGGTAATTGGTTAAAATTTATGGGGTATGTTTATTTGTACCCGCAACAATTGGTAAAGTGAACGTCAGCCACCAGAGCTTGAAACTCAAGTTTCACGATGTACAATCTCGGGAGACGACCACAGTGGCCGCGAGGTCTAAGGCATGAAATGTCTTCGTTCGCTCGAACACTAGGATCGTGGGTTCGAATCCCACTCAAGGCATGGATATTTGTCTGCGGTTATTCTATGTTTGAGTAGTTCTGTGTGTAGTAGCGGCCTTGCAACGGGCCGATCCCCCGTCCAAGGCGTCTACCGACTGTGTGTGGGATTAAGAAACTGAAACAACGGCCAAGTTCTAACAAAAAGACTGTAGAGCCATAGACAGACAGACAGACAAACAGACAGAGAGTTGTCTCTCGGGAACTGTGGCAGGCACAGAACTGTATGTGCTTGTACCGCATCAGATCGAAACATGGCGCCGTATGTCATTTCTTAGGCTTTGAGTGATAATTTTAGTTGCAATCGGATATTTCAACAGAGAGAAGGGGCTGAAACAAGAATAAAAGGACAGGAGCTAAAAAGAAAGGAAGAAAAATAGAAAGAAAGAAATGAGAACTAAAAGACGAAAATAGCATGGGAACAATAAAAAACAATCGAAACGAAACAAACAGAGATGAAGGAAGTAGGAAGTAAAGTAAGCAAATGGAAAAGAACGAAAAAATTGCGAAGAAGGAAACATGATAAAAAGGTTGAGAGCAGGAACGAAAGGCAAGAAACAAGCCGAAGAGAAAGGAAGCAAAAGTGAAAAAAGGATGGAAAATATAGACAGAAGAATCAAATGAAAAGAAAGCAGGAAAGGAACGAAGCAAGAAGGAAAGATAAAGCTCAAAATAGATAATGAAAAAAATGGAAGAGAATAAAAAAGAATGGAAGGAAGGGTCTCTACTCCGAGGGAAATAAAGACGAATTGGAAAGAAGAAAATAAATTTAGATGAAAGAAATCGGGAAAGGAAGAGAATAAAAACGGAAGCAAGAAATGGAGATGAAAAGGAAGGAAATATGGAAAATGTAAGTGAAAGAAAGTATAAAAACTATAAAGAAAAAATATGAGAAACAATTTATGCGTTTCCCTTGAATCTTCTCTAGTTCCATTATGACCAGGTTTCCTTCCGTTGAGGGAATGGATCTTTAGAGATGAGGAAAGGATTTACATTTTCAGCAATGATATATGAATAGAAGAAAAATTCCGGAAATATTGAATGAGGCATTATTGATCTCAGTTTTTAAAAAGTCGCTAAGAATATCTGTAATATTTATGTGGGATTTCCTTTTTGTTAACAGACTCCAAAATATTTCCAGCTACAATAACACAATAAAGACATGAGAACAGTAGAAATCTGTTCAGAAGAGCAGTAGTGTGAATTTCATGACGACACATAACATGAAAACGCAATGTTCATATTGAAACATTTGATGGAAAGAAGTAAATTAATATAAGTTTGATTTGTTTCATTCTGGTCCGTCCGTGAAAACAGCACAGCAGCCATGAGCAAACCCTGGACGACATAAAGAACCTCCACATCAAGATAGCCAGGTGGCACAATATCTGCCCCATATAAGAGAGACGATGGGAGGACGAACACGAGCCTGCATGGTTTACGAATTTTAATCATTGACAATCTAAAAAACTTAATTAGCATCAAGGAATTTTATACAATTTTTTAAAACTTACATTCCCAGGAAACTGCTGTGTTTATGAAAAGTTCTATTCTGTGTACTGTGTGTTGTAACATATAAGTGTACGTACTTTGCGTGTAAACAAATTATGTGATAGTGGTTTCCTATTTGTAGTGATGTTTGCCCTCTGAAGATGGTCCACAGAGACCGAAACATGTAAGGGTGTTAAGTTTTTATGTAGTAAAAAAACTTAAGGTAACATTCGACGGAGTGATTTATAATTTGTAAATTAATATAAAAACTTCGCAGTGTGCTCTTCTTGGATTAAAGAAAGCATAGATGAAGAAATAGGCAGAAAGTTTGGCAAGTTCTGGAAAATAATAGTGCTACAATCGTTGTAATGAGTCAAGTGAAATAATGTAAGAACAAATAAAATAGAAAATAATGCTGCTGAACAGAAATACACGAGGATAATTTTAATAAATCAGGCCTTAAACAAGGATATAAATTATCACCTTTCTTACTCCTCTTATGTTTGTACAAAAATTTGATGGAAATTTATAAACCTGAAGAGGTAAGTTTGGACATATACTGCCCGTTGCATATAATTGTGTAGCTGATGTCCAGGTATTATTATCAGAACAAAGAAAAATAGTTGCAGAGAGGAATTGCTGGTCCGGATAAGACGTTGCAATTATATAACATGAAGATATTTATAAAATGGAATGTAGCCTGTAGACCCGTATATGAGTAACGACCTCAATACAAACAAAGAAACAACATTCGCTGTTAGGCAACAGATTCTTAATGAGCAAGTATACGCAGCCGTTACTGGGTAACACCTTCGCAA